TGACACAATGATTTATTTTTAATCCATGAGACCACTTTACAGCTGGGACAGATCCAGTCTGAGCCAGTAAAAACCATTCCTTTATTTTTTGGCATTTCCCTCCTTACCCTCTTGCTGCTTTGACTGCTTATAGCACCCAGTTTTTGCAGCCAGCACCTTCTGCTGTGTCTGTCCATCCTTTCCAGCACTATGACCAAGGACCAGGTCATCCTCTGCTCTGTTTCACCAAAGGCTTCTCCAGGCCCAAAGGGTACCTGTGATGCCACCTGCTGTGGAAGCCATGGTGGTGGCACTATGGGACTTTAGTGCCTAAAATTTTGTAGGTGAGAAAACTCCGTGACAGACTCAATGGCCCCTCTCATGGCTGTTTCCTGAGGACTGGGTCAAGATCCACTGTTTGTTCTCATGGACTCGATGGCACAAGGACAGATGTGGTATCAGTGCTGAAAATGGGTATTTTTAGATTGGTGCTGATCAGGCTGCTTTTCCAGTGCACCTCCACTCAGTGGAAGTTATTTGTTACTTTTGTTTCTCAGTACTTGTCCTCTGGCAGGGTGTCATCACCTCTTCTAATGTTTCTCCATCTCCACCAAGGATTACTTTTGGGCCATTAATAGCCACAGAGTTAATCTTCTCCCCTTTGATAAACAAACTAATTTGTTCTGCTGTGTTTGCTAATAGCTGTTTCTAGGAACTAATAACAGCTCTTAGGTGCTATTTTCTTCTTTACCTTCCCAAAAAACATGTGGCTGCTAATATTTTCATAGGGTTAAAAGAAGCATAGCTGTTTTTTTCCATCTCTATTTATAACCTTGCATATGCTCTTCCCAAAGTGGACGTGAAAGATTTTGGGAGCTTTACTCTGGAGATCATTAATTTTGGTTGAGCTTACTTGGGTAGCTGCACTTGTGGAGAGGTTTGAGCCTGCAGAGGCCAGCAGGACTTGAACAAGGTGCAACCAAACTGATTTGCAAATTCAGTGGTCCCTGGTGAGCTGGGCTTGCCAAAGGTCACCATGTCCCTGTGAGAGGCATTATGCACTCAGGAGGGGTGGCCAGAGGGTTTGAGCCTCAGGAGGCTGTTCTCAGAGCTGTAGCACACCTGGGAATCTCCTCTCTTCTTTAGGAAATCTACTGCCTCTTTGGAATTGCCAATTGCATCTTCTGCCAGTGAGCTGCATCTCCAGGGAGTGCCTGTGCTCACAGCCAGCCCAGAGCCGATGGGAACTGATGGCTCAGACCTGCTGGGCTACACTGAGCTTTGGGACACCCCCTGCTCTTTTATTAACCTGTCCTTTGTGCTCCAAGCAGCAGGATAATGCCCCTGACCTGTGAGAGCCTGGAAAATTGTGAAGGCCACAGTGCAGCAGGAGCACCTTGCTTGAGGCTGGTGGCTGGAGGGGCAGTGGGGAACCAGGCCAGCCTGCATTAGCTTATGGAAGCAGCCGAGATTACTTGTACCAAAGCGAGCACCCTCCTGCTCTGCTTGCACAACGCCCCCTCTGAGGCAAGGGCATCTCTCATTGTGTGACTCCAGATAAGCCAAGGCCTCACCCTTTGCTACATCAGCCCCTTCTCTCCCCAAGGCAATGCACCTTTGCAGGCATCTTTGCAAGTATTCCCAGAATTAATGCCCTTCCTCAGTGCCAGGGTCACCTCCCTGCCCCTCATCTCACACCCATGCCACTGTGCATGTGCTTGGACACGTCCCTGGGAGCAAAGCAGCTGGAAACCAGGTGGAAACCAAGGATGCTGGTCACCCCCAAAACCTGCTCTTGGGAGCGCAGACCCCTCGGGGTGATTGGGGCTGTGTTCCAGCAGGCTGCTGGCGCAGGGCAGATGAGCACTGGGGCTATTTGCTTCAAAAGCCACTGAATTCACCCCACAGGGAAGAGGAGTCTGCGGTCACTGCTGTGTAGATCCCTGCTGCTCTGGGGCAATGCACACACAGGCATGGGAAGGACAGTGGCAGTGACCACAGAGCATCAGGGCAGCGAGGGGGATCTGGGTGGCATTTGGGGCTCCCTGGGTGCTGAGAACTCACTTGGCGCCAGCCCTGACCTCTGCTGCCACTAAGACTTGCACAAACTTGTAATTGTTAACTAGTTCCCCTGTAGTGGGCTTGGTATTCTTTCAGGAGAAGGTTTGAAAATGCAAGACATCTACAGTAGTAAAGATTTTATTGTGCTGGCAGCGGACTGTAAAACTCGATTACATGACACTGGGGATTGCCTAAACCTTGTTCCACTGATGCAACTGCTCAGGCTTGGGGGGGGATGTGAGGAAGGGAGGTGGTTTTGAGTCACGTCTGGAGATGCTTTAGCAGGAAGGGCAGGAGCAGCCCACTCCCACCCAGCCGCTCCCGCCCTTCAGCCAAGTGAGCCCAATGTGGACCTGAGGATCTGGGGGGATCACAGGAGCCTTGCATAGCTGAAACAATGCATGAGTGCTTGGCTCATCGCTGTCTAATGACATAAAAATCATGGGGAAGCCCAGCCTGGAAGGAATAAGCGGAGATTTTTTTTTGTAGAAAAAGATTTTCCATCGAGAAATGGGCTCCCCTGTTGGCCCCCTTTCTCAGTTCACTGCTGACATGGGAGTTTTCCCTCTAAGACAAAACTTTCCGCGGTTTGTATCCGTTTTATATCCATTTATATGACTGCTAGCATTTTTCATATTCCAGAGCACCATTTATGGTAAGAAAATACGTTTTCCAATAAATAATCAAAGTGATCATATTTTGGAAGGGGAAAAAAATCGTAGTAGCAAACTTTTGGAAAAAAAAATTGGCCTGTGCTGAACATTGAGCCAGCATGATATCTTTTTTCCTTCCAATAAATCTTCTGGCTTATTTCTGTACCCAAACTAGAGTGAGCCAAGAGGAATTCCTGAACGCTCGGGTACAGTCAGCCCTTCCCTGGCTGCAGCATGCTGCAGGAATGCCACCAGCTTTTTGAAGCTACATCCAGGATTTGGTTAGCCAAGAGTAGGAGAAGCATTGGGCTAAGAACATGGCACTTTCAAAGCAAAAGAAAAGAGTTTCTTTTGTGACACCAGTGGTGTAAGGCTCAGGGAAGGGGAGAGTCCGGCAGGGAAGCTGCCTGGAAGGGACACAGTAGTGGATGGAGGAGTCTCCTTACAAAGCCCTTGTGTCAATAAAACTTGAGTTCAGGTGAGCTCAGGTAGCATTCAAAAGTGCAAGCAGGAAAGCCCTGAATGGCAATTCTCAGCATGTGATTAACCTGGGGAACACCCTGCTCAGGAGCCTGTCCAAGGCAATCACTTGACTGAGGTCCGTGGAACCCGGAGCTGTTGAAACTGCAGCCAGCAGTGCCTGATGACTGCAGGCAAATGATTGCCAAGGGGATATGGAGGGCAATTCTGAGGGGTGTCCTCTCTGTGTGAGATTCCAGGTGCAAGGTCCCTGCTCTGGAGGAAGCATGAGTCAGACAAAATTTCTGCTCTAGGCTCTGGCAATCTACTTCAGTTGGGGTAAAATGCCAGGTTTTATCCTATGCAGCTGCTAATTCCCCACTAATTTATCCAGTAGTAAGAAGGTCTCAGTAAGTGAATTCCCTGAACTCCTGTCTTGCTGAAACCTGAGCCCCTCTCCATGGGTATACCACTAGGTCATTCAAGTACATCTAATATCTTTTTTGAGGGGAAGAGAGGCACAGATAGTGTTACACATTGTGCAGAAATGCTATTAGCTGTAGTTGAGCATCACAACTTGGATTTATTAGCAGCGGGCTGAGAGACCTACATGGCAGGGGATGTAACTGATAACCTTGTCTTGCATCCGTTTGAGCAAATGGGTCCTGTGCCTGTGTGCTCATCAGAGATTTAGCGCTTCTCACGAGCTTTTTTGCAATCACAGTCATTTAGCAAACATATGATACTTCACACTCACAGCCCTGACAGGGGCATATGGCACTTCCTACCTCCTAAATGTTGATGGATGGAATTGCTTTGACTATTCAAAGAACCTCAAGGCCTTGCATTGACTTCGGTGAGCTTCCTTCTGATTTGTCCTGTGTATGGAGAATCAGGCTGATTAACACAAGTTAAACAAGCAAGAGAGTTCAAACAGAAGAAAATGTCTCCTACTCAGTAGTCCTGAACACTTGAAATCTCAAAAGTTGGAGCAATGGGAAGTTTGAAGATGATCTCATACCCAGCATATTAAATGCCTTTTCAGGTAGAAAAAAAAATGAAAGGAGAAAAGAAAAAGAAAGCATACTTTAAGTAGAATAAAGTACAATCTCACCATTGGTGGCAGAAAAGTTGAGCACAAAGGTACTCAAAAACTGTATAATGTTGTGAAAAAGAGCAAGAGCTAGATCTGTTGCCAAAATCAGACCCATAAAAGCCAGTGGGCCACTGCTGACCCACCATCTATCTCCTTTTAAAAGCAAACTTACCAGCCAGAATGGAGGTAATCAGGTATCTCCTGGTTTTCACTGGGATTTACCAGAAATGTTTCTTGGTGGTGAAGACATCATTTTGGACCCAGCAAGAAGAGCTGAGATGCTCAGAGCTCCCAGGTGCACATGGCAGAGACTGAGCCTTTACTCTGCTTAATTCCAAACAGGAATCTGAAGGGGCAGGTGAAAGAGGGAACCTTTCAGTGGGAGAAGGGAAAAACGCTTATTTTTTTTTCACAACACAATTTCAAATGTTCAAACTCTGGCCTTGTGCTGAGCCAAAAGGACCCCCAAGGTCTCTTGCAAAATGCAGATGTTATTCCTCCCCTGCCCAAGCTGTGGACGCGTGTCTATGGCTGAGCACCGTGTGGCCAGGGAGCCTGAGCACAATAATGTGTTTTCCTTCCCCTAACACCTGACAGTAGCATGATTTCACCAACCACTTGGTCCCATTGCTGCATACTTTCCAAGGTGATAAAAATCAAACAGATTAACGTGTTTGCTTTTAATTTTACATTTTAGAAGCAGCTGTTGAACCACCTCAATGCCAACAGTGTCTATTGCCAGCATTAGTGTCATTAGTAGTCATTGCAGCTGTAATAGCACCATTATCTCCTGCTAAAAGGTCCACTGATGGCTCAGGACAGAGCTTGGGGAAGTGAAAAGAGCAGACTAAATGAGATGGAAACAGCAAACAGTTGCTTCTACCTTAACCTGCATAAAGACCTGAGGATGCTACGCAGAGGGAAATTAATTTGCACAAGTAGCAAAAATTTTGGCTGGAGTGTCATCAAGGAGGAGGGGCTCTTAGTAGCTCTTGTGTCACTTGGGCGAACATAAAGCATATAAATATGGGAAAGAGAGAATGGGGACATTACTACCAACCATCTTCATCCCTCAGAGTGAACTTCTCTCCACTTCTTGCTGCCTCGTCTTGGGTAAGTTGGATTGCCTCACTTTTACTTTCTACCTATTGTGCAGACCTGTCTTCTTAAGCTGATGAAGCAGGCAGTGACAATTGTGGCTGGATGGCTCAAGAAAATGAGACCTCCTCAGGTCTTTGAGGAGATTGGGCTGGTTTTGGGCCATCATCACACATTACAGCCCCTTCTGAATGGGCAGAGAGGGTTTTTCCTCTGGAGGGGGCTGCTGATCTTGGCTCTCCAGGCCATGTACACTAGAGGGCTTGGTGGGATGGCTCTGCCTGCCTTTTCAGGCAAGACAGCAGGGAGCCTGAGCCTGAGATGGAGCATAGAGATGGAGATGGACTCATGGTTATAGTCAGTAGTCATTTACTGTCACTTGTAAATCCTGGTGCACAAAGCTCTCCTTCCTTCTCAAACTAGAAGGTCCATCTCCTACTTTAGTCTCATTTTCATTCCAGAGGAGCTGAAAGACACACAATACTTGATTACAACCTATTTTTACCTCCTAGACTTTCCTGTGTCTGCTCTGCCTCTTTACCCCAGGCCTCAGCCAGCCCAGCATGGCTCTGTGGATCCGATCTCTGCCCCTGCTGGCCCTGCTGGCCCTCTCGGGCCCCGGGAGCAGCCACGCCGCTGTCAACCAGCACCTCTGCGGCTCCCACCTGGTGGAAGCTCTGTACCTGGTCTGTGGCGAGAGGGGCTTCTTCTACCAGCCCAAAGCCCGGCGGGATGCTGAGCAGCCTCTAAGTAAGTGGGGCTGGCCAATAGGACAGCCGCCTGTCTGACAGTGACACCAGGAATGCCCTCCGTGGGGAATGCCAGGAATACCTTTGGCATACCAACAGCCAGGCGTGCCAGTGAAAAGCTCTCCAGGTTAAAAAGGCAGATGAGAGGGCGGGCAGGGAGAGAGGATTTATGAGGCAAAAGGAATTGTGCCTGGAAGCTCAAACTCGTCTGTTTCTTAGCGTGGTCGTTACACCAGCCTGGGAATATTTGTAGAAAATAAGGGTGGGAGGAACTCGATAAGCCTCTTTCTGCCCCAAGATAGGATCCCCATTGTTGTTCCCATTCTATTTCTCAGCCATGTTTGTCTGCTGCATTCATAAAAACCTCCAGAGAGAAAGCTTCCTCTGCCTTCTGGAGCTGCCCATTCCCAAGCTTAACTGACCTTCTTCTTGAGTGTTTCTTCCCAATATCTAACTTGAACATCCCTTGCTGTAAATGATTTCTTGTCTTCTCATTATTGGACAGGGGGAAGAGCCTAGTCCTTTCATCTTTATGATTGCTTTCAAAATATTTGAATACTGTTCCCATGTCTATTTGACCTCTCCTCAGCTACACAACCCTACTGCCTTCCTAGGTCATATTTTCTAGATCTCTAAACATGCAATTCTGCATTTGTCCACATCCTTGCTGGCTGGTGAGGCCTGGAGAAGCACACTGAACTGGCTTCCAAGCTTCTAAGTAAGACTGTGAATAGATGAAGAAGAGACCCCTGTGCAAATTGCACCCATTTAATCCTCTAGTTTCAAGATCAACCTTCACTTAACATCCCCTGATTGCAATACATCTCTCCCACCATTTCTCTTCCCATCACATACTGTTTTCATTTATATCCAATTCTCTCTCCTGTGTATGTAACCACCCTGTGAAATAGTCTTAGGGGTCTTTGTAAGGTGAAAGAAGATAATGCCCTAGCAGAGGGTTTGCCCATGATTTGTTCGGGATGTCATTTGCCCATTCTCTGATTATTCATTTCTGGACACCACCACAAATGGATTGGAGGTTTCATTAGCCAAACTACCTAAATACTGTACAGAGAATTTTAATTATGCCTAAAAGAATGCAAGTATTTGAGGATTTTCTACCTTTTTTTCAGGACTTTTGCCTGAGCTGCCACCTCTTTGTCACACAATCTGTTTATGTTTACAGTCTGCTCACAGCTGGCTTGAAGGATGAAGACAATAAATCACAAAACTTTGACTGGCTATTTCCTCTTCTGCTTAACATTGGACCAAGTTTTTCCAAATTTCCCATCTAGCACACTAGCATAATGATTTTCTGTTACTCTTGTGCCTTGTTCATTGCCTCACGCTTTGGGGGCTTGGGGATTTTGCATCTTGTACTGTACTTGTATTGCCCTAGAAACCACATCTCATTCTCACTTTCCAGGCATTTTCTCTTTGCTGTTAAAAAGCTCTTTTCTTCCTGCAGGAAAAACTCACTGATTTATTTGCCATTTTCCATATTTTCATTAGGCAACTAAAACCTGAACAGATCTGTGCACAAGTTTTCAAGTTCTCACCAGCAAATAATCATTCTGAGTGTTATCTGTGTCCAAATACCCTAATTTATCATTGCTTCTAAAAACTTGCCCCCAGCTGTGAACACAGACACACACAAATGCTTTTTCTGTCAGCTTGGGGCTTTATCCAGGCAGCCAACTGAATCAGGCTGTTCAGGAACAGCTGGGAAATGCACCCAGCCTCATAACTGGACTGCCCCTGCAATCCCATGAACATCCCAGCTGTCTGCCTAGGCTCCCAGAAGAGTGGGTAACTGCCTAAAGGGCTCTGTGGTCCCAAACTCTTCTCTGTAGAGCAGACAATCCCATTTTTACATCTCACTTACTAGTTGCTCACCCCAGGGAGGGCTCAGGATTTCTCTTCCTCTCTACACAGCTTCCCCAGTAAAGCCCCTGTATCCCTTTATCCCTCACACTGCCAATAGTCACTCAGCTTGGCATCTTCTGGACACCACAGGATTATTTTGGGAGAGCAAACAGGGTGCTACAGCAGCACCAACCTGGAGAAACCTGTGCAACTTCCTTCCCATTTTCCAGCCAACTCTGGATTGAAACTCTGGGGCCTGCTAAGGGGGTGTGGAAGGCTCAGGAGCCAGGGCTGGTGCTGAGTAATGTCCCACACCTTCTGTTCTTCTCCCCTGCAGTGAGTGGTCCCTTGCACGGCGAGCTGGGAGAGCTGCCCTTCCAGCAGGAGGAGTTTGAGAAAGTGAAGAGAGGGATTGTTGAGCAATGCTGCCACAACACCTGCTCCCTCTACCAGCTGGAAAACTACTGCAACTAGCAGCAGGGCTGGCACTGAGGAGCTCCTGGGCCAGAAACATGCACTTATGCTACCGCACCTTCAAAGCAATTGAATAAATGTTGTGGATCTCTTGGAAGGACTGTACTGGTTCATGTGTCCACATATTTTACTCTGCTTTAGGGCGTCAGGGTCCATGCTTGGGTAAAGCACTTTTCAGCCATCACTTCAGATTATCCCTCTGCCACAGGAATGACCTCCATGGGAATGAGGGAGGGAAGGGTATTACACAGCTTTGGAGCAGGTATATGGAGCATCCGGCACACCCAGTGCTTGGAGAACCAGAAGGAGAAGGCAAAGAGGTTTAAACAAGACTTCTCTTGCTAGGGAAACATTACATCTGTAACAATGTCATGCTGATCAACTTCCTGCAGTTCACAGCCCAAATATAGCCAGGCAGCTGGAGACTGAACTTCCTCAGCTACATAATGGAAACAGTAAAGATTAGGCAAAGAATTATGTCACCTATTCATTGTACTCAGAAAAACCATGGATGACCACCATGGCCAATTCAGAAAGTGTGTCTAGCTCCTACTTGTGCTCGTGGGAAGTCCAGGGAGAGTCCCTGCTGTGAGATGTGCTTGTTGTTCACAAGGATATCACAAGCCATGTACTGAAAGTAGATTTAATCCAAGAAGGAGTTTTGAATCTGTTCTCCATGTGCTGGGCAGTATCTTTGCTCCTGATGCTGCAAACCTCATTCAATTATCTGGTCCCAGAATTGCCCTTTTCTGTGAGGGAAATCTGCCCAGCAGTGCCAGAGTGGCCAGAGTGTCCCAGAGTGTAGGGAAGGGCTGTGTTCTCTCTGCTGAGGGACTCTGGGGGCACTCTGCTGAAAGCCATGCAGAGGGGCTCTGTGCCATGGGCTCAGCCTGGCAGAGGTGACAGCAGCAGCCAGGGCTGCATTCTGCTGGTGACAGATTTTGAAAGTTGGTCTGAGAGGAGCCTGTGGTTTTAGCAGCCTCATTTCCCAAACCAGTTCCGACTGCCTCCAGTGGAGCTGCACAGATGGAAGCTGCCATCTCAGCCCTGCCAGGATGCATTACCCCCAATCCTATCACAAGCACAAAACTGGCCAAACCACTACAAACTGAAAGGCTGGAAGAGCAGCTGGATGTGCTGCTGAAAAGAAGATGCAGACATAAAAAATGAAATCAGAAAGCACTCATGATTCCCCGTGGTGACCTTCCATACAAATTCCCTTGATGCAGCCAAAAGCTGTCTCAAGGCGGCCTCTTCCTGCAGGTGCCACACAAGTGCTGCAGTGCTACTCAGCCAGTCCTGCTCTCCCTGACCACCTTTTCATCCCTCTCCATCACCCCTTCTGCTGGGCTCCACTGAATACTCCCAGCAGCAGAGCTTTCAACTGTGACAAGCAGCTTCAGGCCAAAATCATGTGGTTAGGAAAGCACAGCAAGATAAATTGTGTTCCTCAGCTACTTGGCTCCACCAAACCTCACAGTGTATAGCTCCAGTGGTTTCTAGAGGGGACTCCCTAGAAGGAATTCTCCTACCTATCCCGGTGAACCATGAGGTCAGGACAAGTGTTACTGAAAATAAAAAAGAGAAGAAGAAAAAAAACCAGAGTTATTGCTCATTTTAAGGCCACCAACATATTCAGGCATGCAGCCAAGTACCAGCAATCCCAGCCATCCAGGAGATACCACCCTGATCCAAAAGGCAGATGTTCAGGTTTGCTTGGATGTTCTTGAGGGGAAGGACATCCAGCCATGGTGGTTCCTCCATCTGGCACAGCCCTGTTTATCTGCTGGCACTCCTGCCCTGGCAGCGATGCTCTGCTCGGGTGAGGACAGCTCCTCAGAGATGCCCAGCTCATTTCCTGCCCTCTGCCATTGTTTGGTCTGATCCTTTGTTTGTTTGCTTTTTCTGAGTGCTCTCAATTAGGACTTGTTGGGAAATTGCAAATGCCACTTTTTCTGCTGGAAAATGTTGATTCATCAGGATCAGCACACCCCACAGGACCGGACTGGTTTTAGCAAGGCAGGATTTGAAAGAATGAAGGGACATAGAAGGTTTAGGTGCCTGCCCTTCACCCTCTGCATCCAGTTGCCCAAGACCACAAGCCATCCCCAGGCTCTGGGCTACCCAAGGGTGGATGCCTTTGCTTCTGCTGAATGATTCCAGAAGGTGAGCACCCAGGTCAGGGAGGGACAGATGGCCCCATGTCCAAGGTGTCTGACTCTCTGCAGGGCACATGAAGGTGCTGTTGCTTCCTTCCTCCCCAAACAAGAGCTGTGCTGGAGATCAGTGTCCTACAGTGAGCTACACTGCTCTCCAGGAGGTGCAGGAGAAAATGATGGATCAATTTTAAAACTGTAGAAAGCCTAAAAAAAAAATAAGTTACACACTTTTGCTTTCCAGAACTGAAAATAACATAAAGGGCCAGCTCTTCACTTTTTAAAAGCTGCAGTAAGGTGAAGGCCAAAGGAGAACAAAGGTACTTTTCCCCCTTTTTCTGGAACTCCAGGGAAGAAAACCTGAAGGCAATCCTATGCATTTTCCACAATGGAGCACATGGCTCCCTGGCTTGCAAACGTGCTGCTGCTGACTTGCTAACCCTGTGTTGTGGCAGGACAGGCAGCTTTAGCCCCCTACCCCACCCGAACCCAACAGTGGGTGTCCCAAATGTCCTTCCCAACATCTTTAATGGTGGTCCAGGATGGAATTTCTTTGTAAGGCTTCCCTCAAATCCTTGTGCCCTTGCGCAGGCCATTCCCTGTTCTCAGATGTGCTTGGGAGATGTTGGATCTCCTAAATTCCTGCAAGAGAAATGATTCAAGGACAGAGAATGCCGCATCCACTGACCTCCCTCCCTGCTTCTCCTCTTGCCAGGCTTTGCATTGTGATCTTTGGGAAGCAAATGCATCCAGTCCCCTTTATTCTGACTCAGCAGTTGCTCTGGAGTGATTTTTGCGGTAGTGGTGGGGCATCATGCCTGACTAAAATATCTTGGCTCTGCTACTCTTGCAACAAACTTCCAAAGGTCTCATGCTCGTGGTGGAGGGCAATTTGAAGAGAATGCAAATAAAGGCTTTGGTTCATTCATGCTTCTTGAATAGAGAATAGAAAGCTGAGCCGCAGAGGGGATTGCAAGGCAAATTCCTTGGGCTGCTGAGCTGTTAACAGTGCCTAGAAAAGGCAGGACCAAAGTGTCCCCTGTCGCCCACGCGCACCAACCCTCATCCAAAAGGGCAGAGCTGTGGTTTCCAGGAAAAGGGAGTGACGTGCACAGAAATGGGAATGGGGGCAGCCTCTGCAGGGCGCTGGCCATTGGATCCCTGGTGGCTGGGGATCAGATCATGCCCTCCAGGTTGCTGGATGGGCTCTGCTGCTCCAGCTTATCTGGAGAGGAAGGGAAGGCTGCCACTTTCCCGGAGCTAATCCGACTCTATTATTTCCTTTCCGGGAAACCAGAGATAGAGAGTTCTCTCTTACTCTGGGAATTTAAGAGATCCACTTTAAGAAACAGTCAGACTATATTCTGGGATTTATGTCTTTTTAACCATCTTATCAGCATTTTAGGAAATTTTAAACCTGCTTACAGCATCTCTCCTTATCTACAGAGTGAGTCCTAATAACAGACTTGCAGCAATGACTTGAGTTAGAAGGCATGCACTGAGCAGATTCTGTGTTAAGACCTCAAATTCACTCTGGTTTAGACCAACTTCACCAAAGACACCTATCTTTAACAAAAAATAGTCTTTCTTCCTTCTCCTTTCACTCTGGGCAGGAAGAAAACTTTAGGTCAGGCTATAAATTGATCTGGAAAGTCATTGCCAGTGCATTGTCGCTGGCTGAATTATTCCTGCATGCTGTGGCGGGGAAGGAGGGTGGTTTTTTCCAAGCCCAATGCCAGGCTGGCTCTCACATGCCCCCCAGCCCTGCTGGGCAGAGCAGGCAGGAGCAGATCCAGGACAATAACGGGAAGCAAAGCAAGCCTGTAGGAGCACACAAGGAAATGATCTGAGCCTCAATCATTTCCCTCCATCCCTCAATCCTTTCCCTCCATTCCCAGTGGCCTTCAGGACTGTCAAGAAAAGGCGAGCAAACCTCCTGAACTCCTCCAACCTCCTTTCTGTTGCTGGAAAGAGACAGCCAAAATACCACTTTTTTTCATGCCTGGTACATGCCAGGAGTGCCAGGATCTCCAGAATGTGTGTGGTTGCTCACACTAAAATTTCTCACAAATGTTTTCAGATTTTGGAAGAAAATGGATAACAGAAATAAATTTAGCTTTTAATTTCCAGGTTGTTGTCATTTGTTGTCGTTTGGGCTTTGTAACGCTGGATTTTGGCAGTGGGGATGTTTTACATAACTGCCAACTTCTGAAATGTAACTTTTTGTCAGAAAATAATGCAGCTTCCTCTTTTCTAATCAGAAAACGGAAAATCAAGTATAAATGACACCACCCACCCTACACTGACGAGAAACCATTCTGTGGAAGTTTCAATGGAAAAAATTCTACCCTTTTTTCCCCTTATCAGAAACCTCCTCCACTTTGGAGTCTGAGACCCAGCAGGGTCCTGGCTCTGCAGAATTCCCTGCCAGTGGGTCTTGCACACCCAAGTTTCAAGCTTTCCCTGTGTGTTTTGGGAGATTTTAAAAACTTATCCCAAAGAAATGCTGTCTTGGCCCCTGGGTTTCTACTAATTTCAGTGGCAAGAAAAAGAAATCATCAAGTGAAAAAGTCAAAGCACATCCAGCTTGTACACCATAGCCTGCTCCTCTCCTGCTTCTGAAGTTGTTTTTTTTCAGTATATCTGCAACCTAAACCTGGCCACATTTTTTTTCCAAAAGCTGGTACCTTGTCTCAAAGTAATGAATTTCAACCCCAAATAAGGAAAAAAAAAAGGTGCCCCCATGAAATTCTGATGAAAACGGGAGAGGTTATTTTTCAGTCCTGGTCCTGGTGCAGATGTTCTGAGGCAGGTGCTCAGTGTGCAAACCTGTGCTCCTGTGGCATTTTGGTTCCCCAAACCAGAGTGCTTCTCTCAGG